CACAACTGCTGTCTGTCGAACGGTAGCTTAACCAGATCTTTACACAACCGCAATGCTGTAGCCGAACGGTCCGCTTGTACTTGCGGAAGGGCTAACGGTGCTCAGCTGGGCAATTTCCTGTCCAAAAACAATAACTCTATTTCGTCAGACCAAAAAGCGATTAAACGTGTGTGTAACGAGGAACTTAATCGTCGAACTTAATAATTCACCGATCCGAGATTAAAACCTTGGAGTTTGGGGTAAAATTGAAAGGCGGCGACAAATAAGTCAGGAGGGGGTCATTTCCATGCAGGAGTGTGTTCTAATGATGGATTGCTAATTTTTCTGGCCCATGCGACCATGGGAGGAGCCCCAGGCTGGAGTCCAAAGACGAAAAACTACCCGCAATCACGCCACATCAGTAAAAAACATCTCTCCAGTTCCTGCGATTGGCATCATATACAGATAGAGGGATGTACACAAGTAAACAACAAAGTCAACATACCTTCAACGTTTAGTACTTGAAGACTTCTTAGGTTTCCGAGTTCGACTGGCAAGATGCGCAGTTTATTTTGGCTTATGTTCAGAATCTACAAGAGTTAGAAGTCAATGGAAGCATCGATTGCCTGCAGAGATTGCATTATGAGGATCTCCGGGGGAAATACATCGAAGCGATTGGCGTGTAAATCGAGATGCACAAGGTTAGCAAGGTCCCCAGGTTTGCCAGAACTGCAAAGTTGTTTGAGGCAGTTGCTGTGGAGCAGAAGGACCGTCTTCTGGAAAACCCTCACTTGGGCCTCAACTCCGCGCGGAAGCTGCCATAATACGAGGAGACAAGTTGATCAGGCACAAATTTGGCATTTACCTGAGGGAGATTACAGCCCGAGAGATCGAAAACAGGGTCCCGTGACTCTTGAGCCTGCAAAGGGAAATAATAAGAGGCAAATGAGCGCGGAACAAAAAAAGGAAACTTAAAAAACTTCTGATTATAAGATAAAGCAATAAAATAAACACGAAATTATGCAGTAACCAGAAACGTGCAGCAGTGTTATGGTATTTAAGTAAAACTAAATATACAGTGATACTTTGCTTTTCAAACATGTAAATCAAGAAGACAATTTTTACGGAGACTAAACGAAATAGCGTAGTTCAATGGCTTGTTATGGTGCAGCTATGTTTTATATTTCACCTGGATCGGACTCGTATCTAGAATAATTAACACAATTAGCAAATTTGCCAAATGGTCTATAGAAAGAATTGAACTTTTATTGAAAAGAGACATTTCCCCATGACTATGTTATCTAAGTTGATGAAATAAGAGCACTTTTCTTGGTGTAAGCTGAAGAACTTTGACGCATGATAGCACCAAGCGAAAAAAAGAAAACCCAACTTACAATATGAAGTTTACTTTCAAGGAGCCTTTGACACTCAGGAGG